CATGCACATCACGATGCCAAGAAGTGCAGGGCAGCACAAAGACGAAAGAGCTGGCCTTTGAGGGTGGAGCTTTGGTAATCAAGGACAAGGAAGACAAGCTGATTGCACCGACTTCAAGCGAGATTCAGTTTTTGCAGGCTATGACAAGACGTGGCATTGCATTCAAATTTGCAAAGCTGATGACCTACGAGCAGCACACTACATGGTTGAACTTTTTGATGCAGGCCATGCAGCGAGAAGCACCTCCAGGGTATAGCCGGCCTTCCCTACACCAGGCTATGATGTGTGACAAAGCAGCCTTCACAAGGCTGGGGTCAAGCATGGGATCAGTCCGACAGCTTCCGGACGGCTCTTATCCTCTTGGCCTACGATTGCTTGAACTTCGGAGCGATCCATCAATCGCTTTCTACTTGGCTCCACGTGCCAGCCCTTACAATGCAGCACCCAGACCTGGCAATGCAGCCAACCAGGAGAGAAAAGGAAAAGGGAAGGGAAAGAAGGGCAAAAACCCACCAATGCATGCAGAGTTGCGCAACAAATGGCATCGCACAAGCAGCAGTGACCCATTGTGTTTTGGTTACAACACCTCAAAGGGCTGCGATCAGGCGAAGGATGGAGAAAAGTGTGCAAAGGGATGGCACCTTTGTGCGGAGCCGCGCTGCCTTCAGGCGCATCCGCTCCCACAACATCCAAGAAAAGCTTCTTGACAGTTATTGAAAGACTGGACAGGGTATCTGGCAAATCATTGCTTCATGATCGAAGTTTTCTGTGGGACGGCTACTTTGTGTTCAGTCGCAAAACAATATGGTTTGGATGGGCCCAAAGCTTTGGACAAGACAAAGAAGCGTGGAGCTAAGGCGACAATTTTTGTCTTCGATATCCTTGATCCAAAGGACAGGGAGCTCCTGTATCACTGGCTTGAATCTGATTTGGTAGCTTGGGTACATCTTGCCCCTGTTTGCGGCACTTGCTCCAGAGCGAGACAGATCAGAAATGGTGGCCCAAGCACCCGATGGGACTGCCAGATCTTGCGCCTGGCGAAAGACAGCGCGTAACTTTGGCGAATCAAATGTATTCAGAGTCCTGCAGTTTGTTTCATTTTTGCGCACTTCGTGGGATCTTGGTAACCATGGAGAACCCCTCGGACAGCCTTTTCTGGCTAACACAGCCATTTATTGATTTGCAGCAACTGGTCGTACTTTTTCACTCTGACTCACAGATGTGCATGATGGGTGGTACAAGACCGAAATGGACGCGCCTGGTTGCAAATTTCAGTGCAATTGAAGAATTAAATGTTGCGTGTGACAACTCACACCAACACCAACCATGGGGAAAAGCCAAAGATGCCTATGGTCAAGAGGTTTTTGCAACAAGTCTGGAGGCAGAATATCCCAGACGTTTCTGCGTAGCGTTGGTGCAATGCATTTTGCGACAATTGCAACAACAAGGATTGACATTGATGCCGGATGCCTTGTTTGATGTTAAAGATAGCAAGTTATTTGAAATGCAGACAGCTCGCATTGCTGCGTTCAACCAGCCAAGGAAGAACAAGCTTCCCCCTTCGATTCCAGAGTCCTTTGCAATAGGTGTTTTCTATATTGCGCATGCATCTGACATTCCACTTGCTCTGCAAAGCAAGGTTACAACAGTGCTGGAGGCCTTCACAAAGACTGGAGAAAAGGCCGTCATTCCCAAGCATGCGCGATTCCTGCGAAGAACAGCCACCACATCACCTTTTTCTATTGGGGGGGGACTGCAACATGGTGATGAGTGTTTTGAAGTCGCTTTTGGACTACCCTGGTCATACAACAATTTCATTTCCAAAGCGACGGAGCTTGGGCATCCTGCAAATTTCTGCAAGCAGGTGCCTGAAGATATACAATGTGCTATTGATTTTCAGGTGAACAACAATTTTGAAACGGTGGCGCAACATCGACTGGACTGGTGTCGAAGATGGCTGAAGAGAGCAGCTGAGCTCGATGTCATAGAGAAGGAAGACGCTAAAAAGAGACACCCTGCAACTGCAAAGAAGCGATTAAAGCTCACTAAGGAGATCCTGGAAAGTTTGGGTTACGAGGACATTGAAGTCCTACAGATTCTGGAGAAAGGTTCAACTCTTGCAGGGGAAATAGATGCTTCTTCGGTGTTTCAACGTTCTTTCAAGCCTTGCATAACCACCGTTCAACAGTTGGAGGAGCATGCAGAGAAGCGCAACAGTTTGGTCATGCGCATGACTAAGAGCTCAGGTGATCGCGAGTTGGACGCTGCAGTCTTGAAGGAGACCCGCGACGAGATAGCCCGCGGTTGGGCTGATGGGCCATGGCGTGTTGAAGACTTGGAGCGGGGAGCCACAATCTCCCGCAGATTTCCTTTGGTCCAGGGCTCAAAAATTCGTATGATAGATGATTATTCTGTGTCAGGTGTGAACGACAGCTGCACGATCAATACAAAGCTGGATTTACACGCAGTGGACACCTTCATTGCGGCTGTGCGAGCCTACTTTGATGGCATGAGATCTCAAGATCGTGATATGTCTTTGACTGCAAAGACCTACGATCTCAAAAGCGCCTACAGACAGGTGCCTGTCCTTGAAGATCACTTGAAGTTTGGTTATTTTTGCATCTACAATCATGAGACTGATGAGGTTGAACTGTATCGGTCAAGGACATTACCATTTGGCCCGACCCACAGCGTCTTCAATTTCTTGCGTTTGGCTCGGATGATTCACCACATTGCTTGCCGTGGTGCCTATCTCTTAACAACCAACTTTTATGATGATTTCATTCTTGCCAGCAATAATTGCCTGAGAGAATCTTCGAAGAATTGTATGGAGTTAATTTTTCTTTTCACTGGTTGGGAGTTTGCTACAGATGGTAAGAAGGCCACAACGTTCGCAGAAATTTGCTGCGCTCTGGGCGTCGCCTTCAACTTGAGCATGTCTGACCGTGGCATCCTGGAAATAAAGAACACTGAAGCCCGTGTTGCAGGCCTGGTCAAACAGATACAAAGCGTTTTGGAGCTGGGAACCCTGAGCCGAAGTGACACACTGAAATTGCGTGGCAGATTAGGTTTTGCAGACGGGTATTTACACGGCAGACTAGGTGCACTTATACTGAAGCGCCTCATTGACCATGCGTATGGGGCGAATCCAAAGATTGATGAGGACTTGGCCATGCTCTTGCGTTTGATGGTGACGCGCTTGGAAACAGCAGCCCCAAAGAAGGTGGACACCCACTCATTTGCAGAGTGGCTGGTATTTGCTGATGCTGCTTTTGAGAGAGAAGCCAAACCTGGCGGTCTTGGTGCGGAGAGTGTCAAGCTTGGTTTTCAGTCAAACTGGACGACGATTTGTGCAATCTCCTTGGTGCGCAAGAGAAGGAAACCATAATATATGAATTTGAACTTTTTGCGGCTTGTCTTGCTTTGGATGTATGGAAGGAATATCTTAGGGCATCATACCCAGTGCTCTACACAGACAACGACAGTGTGAGACATGCGCTCATCAGAGGTGTTGGACTTGGAGTTGTGGCTAGTGCAGTGATGAAGAAACATCTTCAACTGGAAGTGACAAACAACACTAGTTCTTGGTTTGCTCGAGTACCTACAGAAGCCAACATTGCTGACATTCCGTCACGATTCCAAATGCATCCTTTCTTTGAACTTGCTACGAATGATTCAGACAAAGCATCCGAGTGTTTACAATTCTTTCTTGCAGAGGTTGTTGGGGCGAAGCAGATGAAAAACAAAAGGGGGAGGTGATTCAATCAGCTACGCCCCATGTTTGAAAAAGAAATTGTCCTCTGCTGCTGCACTTGCAAAAGTCTTCACGATGAAGCTTTTCAACGAAAATCGAATTGTGTTGACACGCGGCAAAGACAAGTCATTGTCGTGTGCAGCATTTGCTTTCAAGGGTGGAGAGTGGTGGGAGGTCATCAAATGATGACTGGTTGATGGTCGAAAAGACCCACCCAACAACCACCCATGTTCATCAACCTAACCACACCGTACGGTGATTCAATCAGCTACGCCCCATGTTTTAAAAAAAAATTGTCCTCTGCTGCTGCACTTGCAAGAGTCTTCACAAACACTATCCCGATCCCATTGTGTTGTTTTGAATTTGCTTAGAGACTGACACCCATATTCAAATATTTGTGACTTCAGTGGAACCCGTTCCTTTTACCAACTCGAATTAGAGTAGGCTACGTTGGGTTTGCGAAACCTTCCTCCGGTTTTTTCTACAGGGCAACAGTTTCTTCAAAATTTGTTCCAATGCGTACAAAGAGGACGACGCAGAGTTTGACGCAGTTTGGGCAGAAAATGTTTTTCTTTCTGAAATTGAAGGATTTGCGCAGTATGTTGCCCTAGATGTAGTTTCATATGTACAAATTCTATATTGTACATTTTGTTTATCCACGAATAGATAGAAAAATACGGGTTGTGCTGCTTTTGCCTGTCTTTTCGAAAGAAGGCATTACTGCCAGTTTGCGCCGCGGAACGAGGGCTGTGACTCAGTTCTTCAATGTTTTTGATTGGGTATCGAGTCCTCATAAAAAGGTGCCTATCCAAAGGGTTTTCTCGGTGTCACCTTTTTTTGTTTGTTTCGCAAACGCAATACTACGATGTCTAAGCGCATTAAGGGCAAGAGCATGCCTACACCATGGCAAGAAAACTTCTTCCAACAGCCGAAACGATATGCTGATATGCTAGCACCTCACCAACTATCGATTGTTGCTATGTCTCATTTGCCGATGATGGCAGCCCTCCGAGGGCCGGGGACAGTCGATGCCTCTCGCCTTCGACGAGCCTTTGGCGATGTTTAGCCGGTGGCTTCTCAGAGAGTTTCTTTTGCGTGGCTAGAGCAAAGACAGACTCAGTAGACTCAGTAGACTCAGGAGACTCTACCTAGTAGATGTATTGGGGAGGCTGCGAGACGAACCAGTGAGTTTTGAGGTTCAAGCCAGGTCGATTGAAGAACTGAAGATCTTATCTCAGATCATCTCATGATCTTCTCCATTCTTCTCTCGGCTTGTTTCGCCCTATCAGCTTGGGGGACTCCTTGTGCCACAGAAGACTGTGAGGACTTGGAACTCTTGACCGTGAAGTCCCAAAAACCCGAGCTTGAGCGCCCTCGCCGTCGCCCTTTTCACCGTGGTGACGAGGACGATTTGAGCTATTTGGTTTTTCCGGTACAAGGCGATCATGCTTGGAATATCATCAACAGGAAACGCCACAAGGTCACGGTGACTGCACGCGGTGGTGGGACTCGAGCGATGGCTGGAACTATTGGACATGAACTTGTTGGATGAAGTGGATCAAATTTTGGCGATTTCAGGTGCCACATGGGCTACAGCTGTTTACCTCTTTGCTGACAAGAGCTATTCCTCTGAGGATTTGTTGGGAGCCACCACCTTTGGGAAACTGGCGAATTTGACGCTGGACGCCATCAGGACTCCCCATGGTGAGTTGATCAAGAGCGCCAACGAGCCTCGGTTTTTGGCCTCGCTTTTTGACCGAGGGTGAAACCATTTTTTTTGTGGGTGAAACACTTTCACAAACCATCCCCCAGTCATCAGCATTTTATAGGTGGTTTATTGTTAAACCATCCCCAGTCATGGGTGGTTTATTGTGACAGTTTGTTTTGCCCACAGAACAGTTTGTGACCTTTTGGATCTGGTTTTTTCTTATTGTTGAGCACAAAAAGGCATCCTTTGAAAGCTACCTCTTCGCAGCATTTGCAGCAGCTGGAGCTGGACTTGTGGATTTGTCGAAAGCCTTTGAGGCCGCGATTGGAGGCGCTTACTTTTGTCCCTTTCGTCTCAACGGGGAGTTGCCCCAATGGCCTGGCTTGTGCACCAATGCCAACAAGAACCAAATCTATGTGGAGAGTGAAAGGCAACTGAACATTATCAAGTTCAGAAACCCAAAGTTGAACGTGTCGAATGCCCTGATCAAGCAAAGAACCAAAGTGGGCAGCTTCGTCATGCAAGCATGCTTGCTGAGTCCTGTTGGTTATGAGCCGATTGGGGACAGCATCGTGGCAGTTCGCTTTTCTCCCGATTGGAGTGGTTTCCCATACTTTGCAGACGAGAAAGCCGTGAACTTTACGGCACTGAACACTTCATTGTTTGGTAGCCTTCCCACTCTGGAAAATGTCTTGGTCGGTGGTGGAGTGGTGGAGTGGTGGAGTCCTTCGCATTTATGGGGGTGGAGGAGCCTGAATGGGAACCCAGAATCGTACGACCCTACAAAGCTTCTTCCCCAGCCTTGGATGTTGGTCCAGTGAGCCTTCAACAAGCTTCAGCATACAGCTCTTCCATCTTCGCTCTATTGGGACTCACTTCACCAGAATTTTTGGATATCCTCACACAGCGTCAGCTCACCCCACTCATCAAGGCGGATCCTTTCCTTTTGACCCCAAGGCGGCCGACTTGGCCAGTGGCCTTGGAGAGACAGGGTGATGACAAACAGAGAGACTTCTACCTGGGAGATGGGGGCTTGGTAGAAAATGGAGGGCTACCCGAAGCCATCCGAAGTGGTGCCAAGTGCAGTATCGTCTTGCTGAACAACATCCGACCACCAGATGTCTCAGTAGTGGGAGATTGGTGCAACGTGTCAGACGTAGTAAAACAAAACCCTTTGAGTTTATTGGGCCCTGCAGCTCTTGGCTTTCCGGAGAAGGATGGTCCCTTGTATGACTACTTTGGCATATTTTTGCAGCTCGGGGATGCAACGCTTAAGACCATTGGCTTTGACTTCACCAACAACCAGCTCTTTGAAACCCATTTGATCTTCGACCTCTTCTGCGAGGCTACTACGCTTACAGCTCAAGGAAAACCAGCAGTAGTGCACAAAAATTACACCACGCTGGAGAACAAACATTGGGGCATAAAGGCTGGTACAGAGGTGCGGACTTCTTGTGAGCTTTGCTGGACATAACTTGCTTTGAGGGAAATATATATATATATACATGTTTATATATATATATATATGTAATATTATAATTATATAGATATTTTGTTGAGGAATCTCACATGTATATTACTGGGAATGTACTGATGCAGGTGGATGTGCTCTTCGTCTTTACACAGATCAGTGAAGACTGGCTTGAGCAGCTGGATCCAGCTACCAAGGAGGCCATTCTGAATGGTGACTTCAACACCAAAGGCAATGTGAATGGTTTTCCATGGCCGTTTCCCTTCCCGCATTTGAGCACATTCCAACCTCAGGGCGAGGGTGCCGAGTCCACAGCTATTGGCATCGAACAAGCGAACCTCTATGCCTCGCTGACGGAGTATAGCCTTAGAGTCAATGAACCTAAGCTCCGGCAGTGTATGGGCCTTTGAATTTGATGTCCTACCATGTCCCAGCAGGACATGGAACTGGACACTACTGACAAGTTCCAACCCTTGGCAAAAACCAGGTGCAAAAAATGTGTTTTTTCTTTGCGGCAGAAGATTGATCAGCAGATGTCGAAGCGACTTCTGGGCACATTGCCGCAGTCAAAGTTCTTCAGGAACGCTGAAGGTGGCCGCGTGCGGCCGCCTCGGCTACGACAAGGCAGGCTACTGGGATGAATAGACAATAATAGACTTGCATTAAAGAACAACCGAACAAACCTAGCAACAACCACTGCTCCAAAACATAAGCCACTGAAATCAACATCACATTGCTCAAAACCACTGCGAAGATCAGAGAGGTTTCACACAGCTTCTGAAGTGAAACAACAAGTCTACTGCTGTCAGCTGCCGCGCAAGCGGCACTTGGAGCCGCACTTGGAGCTGCGGACAATCCAAGAGAAGTGCGAGAAGTGGACGTGGATCGACTGCCAGGATCCCAGAGAACTGCAGTACTGCCAGAAAACCATACAAAACCCACTTGTTTTTAAAAGCATTTTAAAACGAACCATGGTGGTTTTGATCTTTAAGCAAAGGGAGTCTTGTAGTTATGATGTTTGTATTGTAGGGCTTTTGTAGGGCTTTCGAACTAGTGTTGTGGCTGAATGTTTGTTAAAACCGGGTCTAGAGTTTTAGAGGCGGCTTCATGGGCTTTGTTGTCTTTGGTCGTTAGATAGCGCTGGGATGGCGGTTTTGTGGTGTTTCTTGGTGACCGTGGTCAACTCTTATCATGTATTCTGCTTCATCTCTCCCAGGACATTCTTTTAAGGGTAATTCTGGTATCATCATCAATATAGATCCCTCTTATGGAACCATTGCCAAAGTTTCGGGAACCTTCCAGGACCCTCAAAATGCATTCTAGGTTTTTGAAGATTTTTGAAGCCTCAAAAGCACCAAACATCACCCTGGGAGCAAAACATGAAAATAGACATCTTTGATCATCTTTGCAGTAAGGCTGCAGCCAAGGCAAGATGCTTGCTTGGATGGATGTCATCGCTGCGGCTGTTGGGGAAGGTTTGGATTTCACACCGAATGGCGAGACGAAGGGTCCATTTGGGGTCTCAAAAAGGATGGTATCCGCTGTAGAGAAAACAACGATATATTACCGTTGAAAAGGAAAGACCCCTGGATAGCAGAAAAATATAGGAAAAATAGTAGAAACAGTAGTTAAAGGTAGGTGAACATGTCGCGCTGAAGCAGGTTCTGTGATTTCTGTTGGATCTTTTTTGCGTTGGCCAATTTGAGAGCCATCTTCATCTTCTTGTCATCAGCCTAGAACAGGTCGAAGGAATATCTACCTTTGCAAACCGCTAGTACCTTCAACAACAAACCGTGGAGGGCCTAAGCAAGGCATTTTGAATGATATGGCTGCATGGTACTTGGTGAAACTGGTGATGCACTGCCATTCACTAGAAACCATTTTGAAGGACTACGAAAGTCTGTAAGACAAAGATGGAACTGTCGATGTTTTGTTCATTTTGAGAGGCTGCAAAATATGGTGTACGAAGTGGGGTTCAAACCACTTGCTGCGTTTGAGGGCTGTAGGTGCCTGGAACATTGGCTGATCATGACACCTCTTTGACGCAGGAAAAAGTACTTTCACATCCCGAAGGTTGTGGGGTGGCCCAGAGACCTTGGGTTGATACTTTTTCTCTCAAAATCACCTGAAAGGGGCAACAAGTACAGACTAGATCGGGTCAAACCTCTTGGGTAGTTCCTGGGAATGATTTTAGGTTCTATAGTAGTCTATTGTTTGATGTTCACCGTAGCTGGGTTTTGGCATGTTGGTAGGATCCCTTTTTGAGACAGTCCGCTATACTATTCCTATAGGTTGTTCCAGATGAGCATTTCAGAGTTTGATGAAAGGGATTGATTTGAGCATAGGCTTCACCCATGGGCCACCCAAGGTTTTTCTGGCCTTTTACATCTACTTCCTGGAGCATTTCGTTTCGGCCAAAGAGCCTAACCCAACCATCCGGGCAGACCCCACGGACCCCATGAAAAGAGACTTTGCGGCAGCTGAGTGACTGAGTGTGTCACATCTAGCACAATCTCAATTGTTTTGACGTTTCAGTCCAACTTTCCTGATTGATCCATACCCAGATTTCTTTGGAGAAATGAAAAAAAAACGAAAGATTCGAATCCTAGTTTTGGGCTTGAACTTGGAGAAGGATTGTAGATATTGTAGGATTTTGGAGGGTCTTGATCATCAAGCATGGTTTTGGAAAGGGAGATTTAACTGATCCATTTAGCGGCATGGCCATAACCATCCGCAGGCATTGTGGATATTATCAACAGAAAATACTGAAATGGGGATAGCAATCTGATGGCTGGATACATCTCACGGTGTGTATATGTATATATATATGATATACCCATAAGCAACAACAAACCTGGGAGTACAAATACAAAATGACCCATAATTGGGGAGATGATATGGATACTATTGATGGCCATGGAGGGGATTTCACAGCATTTCCATGTGCGGATTCAATTCGATTCCAACAATGAAGCATCAACTTGGGTTTGACTGTAATAGTGCTGACCTGGAGATTCCACTCCGTAGACTGTCCCATTTTCGTCTTCAAAATTTTGACCCAACCGCGATGATCCAAAATCACGATGGGTTTTTCGCAACGTGTGACATCAACGTTCTGCTTGGGAAGGGCCTGCTTCTCCAAGGATTGCAAAGTTGGAGGAGGAACAGGCGGAGGCGGCTTGGAGTTGCACAGATGTCAACATGGGTTTGGTGGATGCTGGTGTTAGACTGCCCTTGAGACTGCCCTTGAAAGGGTGCCTTTCAGGTCTTTTGGTCACTCTAGGTGTTTTTATCTCTTTGATACAAGGTGTAGCAGTGTAGCGGCACTTTTAGATGGTGAACGCAGTATGTCTTCCCGCTTCCATGGCTCTGCGTGCCCAATAGAAACCCAGGCATGTCCGGAAAGCTGTCCATACTATCCTGGAGCCATGGACTCTTTGGAGGCATCACGTGCCAAGCGCCGGCGTTTGGCGCTTGGCGATGGTGTGAAGGGACAGATGGAGTTGGATGCACTTTGGTCCCAGTTGAGGAGTGACCTTGGGGAGATGGAACACCACATCTCTGGCCTGGCATCTGCAGGCAGACCCCATGCCATGCAAGGCGTGGAAGTCTTGGAATCTGCAGGGCTCGCAGCAGACGAGGCAAAATCTGCAGATCAAAGAGTCAAAGAAATCCCAGTGGCAGAGATAGCTGAGGAGCATCCCCCGCCACCTTCCGGGGAGCAGAAGCCATATGTGTTCAGAAGAGACAATTTGGCAAAGCAAAGCGGCATTCCAAACGTCGTGTGGAGCAGAGCACTGGTGGCCTGGAAAGTCAGGTTCCCCAAGCTTGATTCCGAGGAAAACAAGATCAGCTGGACTAGTCGGAACTTTGCTGTGAAAAAGTTCGTTGGCCCAGGCATCACCGAGGCCCAGGCCAACGCAGCAGCTCTCGAGGCCGCCAAGGCCTTCCGTGCAGAGCTGGTGGAGAAGGGCATCCTCAGCGAGCCCAGGCAGAGGACCAAAACTTCACCAGCGAAGTGCCGGGGGTGAAGTGGGAAAAGAAGTCGAAGAAGTGGCGGGTGGAGATCACTTTGAAAGGCAGGAAGCGCATTTGTGGCGGCTGCTTCACGGACAAGGCGGCGGCCGAGGCCAAGGGCCTGGAGCTCCGGGAGAAGGACGGCCTGCAGCGCCAGGTGAAGCCCGTGGCCACCCTAGCAAACAGATACGCCGGACTGCCGGTGTTCCACCCCAAGATGCCGTACCGCGGGGTGACATGGCGCAAGGCAGAGCAGCAGTGGCATGCAACATGCTCAGTTGGTGGTGTGCAGCGATATTTCAGGGTAAAACCCAAAGACCACTCGGAGGTGGAGCTGGAGCGCTCCTTCAAACGGGCCGTGGCGTGGAGGAAGAAGCAGGAGATTGAGAGGGAGAATGAGAGGGAGAAGGAAGGGAAGGCTGTGAAGCCCAAGGCAAAGCCCAGACCCATCTCTGACCCATGCCCTGACCCATCTCTTTGAGCTTGGGCTAAGCGCCTTTGCCACCAGGGTTAGAACAAGAGGGGTTTCACCAGCGAATGTTGGCACCATCCAATGGCCTAGCGAATCGATTGAAAGATCTCATTGTACCCGATCCGCAATTGGATGACCATTGGAAGACTCACAAGTCCCATTCTGCGTCCTTTTTCCATCCAGTTGGAAAATAGGGATGCCCCCAGAAACATTATAGTGAATTTTTGGATAACGGAACGTATGAGAACGTATGAGAACCATCGATCAATGATACACTGTAGTACCAAACCAGTCCCTGTCCCACAGCTGGGGTTCTTTCATAACTCACCACCTGGGTCTCACGATGGCAGGTGGTGGGAGGCATGGCGCAGAAGTTTACCACCGAGGCTCACAAGCATCCCATAGCCAGGGGCTCAAGTGGCGGGTCATTGGGAATCAGCGTGGTTTTTGGCTTTGATGTTCAGCTGTACCTAGGGTAACATGGGGAAACACATGAGCTTCAGTTGGCTGAAGAGTTTTTTTTCGGGCACTTGACCCAGCTGGAAAATCAACTTTTGTGCCTCAGATCAATGAAATCCAAAGTCTTGATGGCTAAATATGGCTAAATAGTAAAATGATCCAAATTTATCATCTTTGATGGTCGTGTGGAAACCCTGGAAGTTTACAGCCAGAATTGTTCGACATTTCGCGAATTTCAGGGTGCTCTAGGTTGAATCTGCTCCTTGATTCATTGGAGTTTTCTTCAATGCTAAACTCCCCATCTTTGACCAAAGTCTGCTTGCCAGATAAAATCCCCAGATAGATCAGATAGCAACCCTCAAAAAGATACAGAACAACAATATCCCAATCAAAAATAGTGAGAAATTGTGCTGTTTCCATATGTTATCCCAGGTCACCATGGTTGTTTCAATACTAAAATCTACGAAGTCATGGTCGACTTGGATGGTGTGGTGTGCCCCCATGACTTATGAAAACCGATGAAAACCCCAAATATCATATTTAGTTGGCTAGGTATATATATATATACAGTATACATATATATATATATACATATATATATATATAATTATACATATATATATATATACATACACGTACACATACATATATATATATAATTATATATATATTTAATTATACACATATATATATACACGTACACATACATACATATATATATATAATTATTGTGAATGAACAAATGATCCCAGTCATGTTCTTGCTTTCTTGTCACATGTGCACAGCCTTTCATACATGTTCCATGAGGGTCCAACTCCAGACGTGGAAATCCTCAGCCGCTTTGGCTGACTGGCAGCTCGTGGTGGGAGGGCTGAGGAAGCGCTTGAAGCCATAGGATTGAGGTCAATCCATCCAGGTTTTGCTGAGGACAGCATTCGTCGTGGCATCAGTGCCTTTGGTCTTTCTGCTTGGAAGCCTGACAACATTTACCATCTTGGCTGCTTGTGAAAACGTTTGCGAGTGCGCTGGAGCTGGTGAAGGGGATTTTCTACCAGTGTGGAGCGATTCACACTGGTAGCGGAGCTACCAATAAAGCTCCAGGGGACCTTTGATAACATCTGGTTTTCTCTGAATGTCCGAAGAAACTGCAACAGCAGCTTCAACCGATGGAAACACTGCAAGATCGAACCGCATGGCCACACTGGTGCCGACTTTCGATCCATCAAAGGATGACTTAGAACAGTACACACAAAAGGTAGAATTACTGAGTGAGATATGGCCTGCAACAAAGATCAATGAGTTGATCACCCGTCTCATTCTGAATACGAATGGAACTGCCTTTCAGAAACTTCAGTTGAACAAGTCTCAGCTGATGACAAATGACAAGAAGGGAGTGCAACAACTGGTCCAGCTCCTTGGCGGCCAGTGGGGAAAAGTCAATTTGGAGAAAAAGTATGACATCGTGGAGAGAGCACTTTTCCGTTGCCTTCAGAAACAAGATGAATCCAACGATTCTTTCCTAGCACGTTGTGACGTTGTTTGGTCTGAACTTTTAGCCAAGAAGGTGCAATTGGAAGAAATCCAATCGTACATAGTCCTCAGAGGGTCTCGGTTGAGCACAGAGGAAAAGAAACGTGTCATTGTCGAGAGTGAATCATCGTCAAGTGGAGCTTTGAACATGGAGAAGGTCACACAATCAGTTCGCATGCTTGGTACTTCGTTTTTCAATGAGATGATTGGTCAAAAAGCCTCCAAGGGTAAGATTTATGAATCCCAAGTGATGCTAGCTGAAGATCAAGATGACTTTCAACATGATGGGTCTGCATACGTAGCTGATGAATATACCGAGGATGAGTTTGTAAGTCAGTTACTGCAAGATGATGATGAAGATGCAGCCTTGATTGCCGACTATGAATCGATGGCCGCAGATGTGCTGCAAGGAGACAGTGACCTTGCTGCCACATACAACGCATACGCAGATGCCAGGAGAAGACTCTCTGACCGTTTCAAGCATAGAGGATTTTGGCCAGTAGGTCAAGGCAAAGGTTCAGGCAAATCGTCCGCACCAAAGGGCAAAGGGAAGTATTTCAACAAGGGTTCCAAGAAAAGTCTTCAACAGAGGATCCTTGAAAGCCATTGTAGATTGTGTGGTAGGAAGGGTCATTGGCGTGCGGAGTGTCCCGACCGGACACGTTCGAATGCATCAACTGGTTCCACGAATACATCAGCAGCCATGACCGTTTCAGCAGTGTCCCAGTCCATGGAAGAGTCCAATGCGCTTCCGATGGAGTTCATGCAGCTTCCGATGGTGCATGAGGAAACCCTAGATGTTCCTAGTTTACAAGAAATTAATGTTGTTGTTTCATCCATGGAGGAAATTCGGGATAGACTCCGTAATTTGGGTAAACGGGGTAAAGGGGAAGATAATCAAAACCCGAATGAAAGCCTGCCCAGGAATGAACGAATCACAGAGCAACCTGAGAGCCATTTTGTGGCATCCGTGAGAGAGCAGCCAGCAGTAGCGTATTTTTCCACGTATGGCACTTGTGGCATACTTGACACAGGTGCGTCGAAGTCAGTGATTGGTAGCAAATTGCTACCTGCCTTACTTGAGGGCCTTCCAGCTGAGATGAGACAGCAGGTGTTCAGGACATCATGTGACATCACCTTCAGATTCGGAAATCAAGGTACCTTGGATAGCCAACATGCCTTAGTTATCCCCTTAAAATCTGTAGGTCTGGGTCTCAAGATTGCAATCGTGCCTGGTGAAACACCCCTGCTGCTGTCCAACACACTCCTGAGAACTCTCAAAGCCAGTTTGAACAGCGAGCATCACACGTTGTCCAGTCCTTTGTTGAACCAAGTTGTCAGACTTAAGCTGAGTCCCAGAGGACTTTACATGCTTGATTTGATAGATTTGCTTCGTGCCCAGAAGGATTTGCGAGGACCTCGTGATGCAATCATGGCCGAGACTTTCATGAGCAGTGATTTTTCCAGCGAAAACCAGCAAGCTGAAACGTGTCAGCCAATCTTCAGTGAAAGCCAAGGTAACAGATTGAAGTCACTTTCAACACCAACAGGCCCAGGTACACAGGTACATGTTCACATGACCAGCCGAAGCCAGGGCAGTGAGTGTAGTTTCGAATGTACAGAGATCACCCGGCCCACGCCACCATCAACCGAGTTTCTCCACCTTGTTGCAAAGGTAAGTAACTGTGATAGCCATGAGCCTGTCCAGCCGCTTAGAGCGAGTGATGAACCGCACTCCCACCGAGAACATCAAGGAGTTCCGACAGCTGGACTTGGAAACCATGAGCCAACATCGCATCACCTTTGGTCGCACTCACGTCGGGAAAACCTTTGCAGAGATGTGGGATCAGGAAAAGTCATGGATGAAATGGTTTGCCAAGACTTACGCCAGCAGCACCAAGCCCGAGCATCTGAAAGTACTGGCATATCTGGAAAAGGTGTTGGATCAGTACGAGGAGAGCCATGGCATGGTGCCTCTGAAGAATCCCGAAGATCTGCAAGGGGTGGTGTTGCCCCGATCCAAGTGCATGCCAAAGAGCAAGGCCATGCCGGCACATCAAGTGCCTGTGGAGGTGATCGAGGAGATTGCGGATCCGAACGATCCGTGGGATGTCATGGACTACACAGCACTGCAACAGGACCAGACCAACGAGATGATCGAGGCACTCCAAGCTCGTGTACTGAACATGGAAGGTGCCATCAGCGAGATCTTAGGACATCTCCGTCAGGGGAAGTGAATCATGCTCTCCGGATGTTGTGCCAGGCTGGTGACATTGATGCCGAGTTTGAAAACAACCCAACTGCCGAAGCTCATTTCAGTACCAACACACCAAATCACTTACACGACAAGTTCCATAAACTTGTTCAACAGTTCACCAGCGAATTGAAGTCCATTTCACAATCATGTTCCCAGAAAGGCACGACAATTCAAGTCTTGGAAGTCTTTTGTGGACCTCAGAGTGAGCTCACCAAGCAAGTCGATAACTTGGGGTATAAAGGGGTTAGGCATGGTTTTCAAGAGGGTGACCTTGCAACTGAAGCCGGCCGAGCCGTTCTTTTTCCAAGTTAATTGAAGGGCAACCTCGAAGTCTATGGTATAGCCCTACATGTAGTCCTTGGTGTGCCTGGAGCGCAATGAATGCCGCGCAGACTGAGGCAGGGTTCAAGACAATCCAAGCTCTCCGAGAGCAACATATGTACCAACTGGCATTGGGCATCGTCCTCTTCCGTTTCCAGAGACAGAATGGCAGACACATGCACTGGGAGCAACCTGCTCGATCACTCATGACCAGGTCTCCGATGTTGCGTGAAGTAATGGAAAACACATACCTTGCCCAATTCGACATGTGCAGAGTAGGAGGCATGCGTGACCCTGTCAACCAACTTGTGTACAAGAAGGGAATGGAAATCCTTACCACGTCCTATCAATTATACAGCCAACTTCACGGTCGTAAGTGTAACCACCTTCATCAACACCAAACAATTGAGGGAGAAACAATGTTCAAAGGTCACCGCATGAGAAGAACTGAATTTTCTGAGAATTACACCCGAAAGTTTGCCCGAACGTTGGCCCAAGTGCTTACCAAAGTCAAGATGATTAAGGAAGCACCACTGCATGTTGCCGAGCATGAACCTTCGTTTGCAAGCTCAGGAGCCAAGAGAAGATCCGTTTCCGCCGGTGTCCAAAGTGCCAAACGGGCAAAACTGAAAGAGGGTAACATCAAAAGTGTCTTGATCAACCCAGAAATGTTGCCGTCCAAACGTAGGAGACTTTCTGGAAAGACCCAAAGTGATGATACCCCAAAAGTGTTGTGTGAACAAGTTTGCAACAGGGTACTTGAGATCATGCCGAAGGTTGGACGCAAAGAGATCAATGACCCTCAAGTAAAATCCATGTTGCAAGAAATGTTTGGGGATAAACAAGTACAAAGAATAATTGCATGTAAGGGGACTGAAAGAACGTTAGTACCACCAAAAGATCTCATGCGAGGAGAAGCCCCGTACCGCCGTGCGGTAATCATGCAGAGAAACACCCGAAACGTACTGGTTCAAGATCAATGGGAGGAATGGGAAGATTTGTCATTTAGGCAGCAGTGGAGGAGATCGCATCCAAGCTACCTAAATATAACAGTTTTTGCCTGCAATCCCAATGCTGAAGTAGCAAGCTCTGCCAAGCCAGTAATCCAGGAAGTGGAACCAGCTGGACCGAGCCAATCTGCGACCTTGGATGGGTCATCCGTAGATGCTGCAATGCCTGAACCAATGCATCCGATGCCTAGTCCAGCCAGGTCAGAATCCCAAGAAACAGCATCCGAGAGTTGCGAGCCAAGCCAAGTCGATCTGAACAGTTCCAACCATGGTCCCCGGTTCTTAGCCATGTCACCCGAAAATAAGAAGATAGCATTAAGGCTACATAAGAACCTAGGCCATCCAGACCCCCAAAAATTAAGTCAGGTACTTAAACAGAGGGGTTACAGCACTGAACTGTCTCAGGGAGTTATGGATCTGAAGTGTTCCGTGTGTCAGATGACACAAAAGCCCAAACTGCAGCGACCGGCAACCCTGAAGGAAGCCTTAGAATTTGGAGACAAGATATCTTTAGATGGAGTGAAGTGGACCAACAAAGATGGTCGAGAATACCATTTTTACCACTTCATAGACCATGGCACCAACTATCATTCTGCTGTTGTTGCTCCGAATCGTGCAGAGATTCAGGACCGCTTCACTCAAGGATGGCTTAGTTGGGCTGATACTCCACATGAAGTGATTTTAGACTCAGCGACAGAGTTTGTCTCCAAATCTTTTGAAAGCTTTCTGCAAGGCCTGGGGATCAAAGTCACGGTTGTCCCTCCGAATGCGCACTGGCAGATGGGGCGCGTAGAGAGACATGGAGGAGTGCTACAAAACATGTTGAGTAAGTATGAACTAGAACCTGAAATCACCAACTACTCACAGTTGCAGCAAGCATTAGCACAGTGCACTGCAGCAAAAAAACACATGCGGAATCCGACAGGGGTATTCCCCAGAAATGCTAGTGTTTGGAAAAAGCGCCAGAATCCCAGGTTCACTAAGAACTACCCACACATGCCCAAGCATGTGAGGAGACATCCGAGGGCTTACGTTTCCGTGAGATGCTAGCTCGCCGAGAGACAGCTCGCCGAGCTTTCCACTCAGCTGATAATGACATGTCTCTTCGCAGGGCCGCCTTACGTCGTGAGAGACCACACAGGGGTTCGTATGAAGCTGGAGAGTGGGTCATGGTGTGGAAAGTGGTTTCCAACCAAGGATCCTGGTATGGCCCCGCCAGAGTCATCCAACAGGATGGTTCCAATGCAGTGTTTTGCAACAATATGGGATCCATTCTCAAAGCAGCACCCGAGCATGTCAGCGCCGTAGAAGCTCGCCTGATCCCCCTGGATCAAATTGCCAGTGACAACGGGCCGAGAAGTGAACACCGTGATATCCCAACCATGGACAGAAATGCCACTGAACCAATCATCCCAGAAAGCAGCAACCCCAATAATAATCCCATCACAAACAATAACCCAGTGCCCACTAATCCCAATGGAATAATCCCTAACGATACCAATAGTCCACCTCAAAGAACCCCAAGTCAGAGCTCAGCAGATCAACCTGACCAAGAACCTGAAAATACCGAAACACCAAGAGAGACTGAAAACGACACCACCATCCCAGAACTAGACACTAGACAACCTGATGAAATCCCAATCCCTGATGATACTGCCGATGAGCTAGTCTGTGACCTCCTAACGTGCCATGATGTGGAAACAGAAATGGGACCAGATGGACAAGACCTTTTCTGGCGAACAGAACTGGAAATCAGTCCCGAACAGCTGACAAATGCCATGCAAAGCCAAAATCAAAATCGCGAAGAAGCTTTCCTTTTCCTTGCGACCACTGCAAAAAGACAGAGAACAGAAGTCAAACTTAGCACCCTAGATCCTGCTGAACGACAGGAGTTTGAAAATGCGAAAAATAAGGAAGTGAACAACTGGCTACAGACAGGAACAGTAGCAAAAATTTTTCGTCATCAAATTTCTCCAAAACAGATCCTCAGGTGTCGATGGTTGTATGTTTGGAAACCTCTAGAAGACCCCAAGGAAATCAAAGAAAATAATGGAAAGTCAAGAAAGGCAAAAGCGAGGTTAGTAGTTTTGGGCTACATGGACCCACAACTAAAAACTATCCCCAGAGATAGCCCTACACTAGGACGAACCTCAAAGATGTTGATTGCACAGGTCATTGCACCCATGCGATGGACACTCATGTCATTCGACATTAAGGCCGCGTTTCTACAAGGCAAAACACAGGAAGACAGACTGATAGCTGTTGAACCCGTCCCTGAAACCAAGTGAAGTTTGTAGACTAGTGAAATCAGCGTATGGTTTAATTGATGCTCCTTTCTTATGGTATACAGAACTGGACCAGCAATTGAGATCCCTGAATTTCATACCATCCCCATTTGATCCTTGCTTATACCTACTATATGAAGAAGGAAAAGATGAGCCAGCGGGTATCTTGGGGGTAGACGTGGATGACGGCCTCTGCGGAGGAAACCAATACTTTCACGAAATGATCAAAAGGCTTGAGGCCAAATTCCCATTTGGGTCGCGTAAAACGCAGTCATTTGTCTTTACGGGAATAGAAATGCACCAACAAAACGACTACTCAATTGTCATGTCACAAGAAAAGTACGTTTCCAAAATCAATCCAATTCACATCCAACCACAACGAAAAATACAAGAAAACCTTCCAGTCACAGAGAGAGAGAGAGACAGGACTTAAGAGCACTGATAGGATCACTCCAGTATGCATCCGTGAACACGAGACCAGACCTGTCAAGCCGCTTAAGTTTTCTGCAGAGCGAAGTGAACAAAGCGACCGTGGAGACTCTCATCCAGGGAAACAGAATTCTTCATGAAGCCAAGAAATACAAGGATACACATGTCAGAATCCAACCAATTCCCATGGACCAGATACGGTTCCTTGCTTTCTCTGACGCATCATTCGCTTCCAAGAAACAACCAGAGCCACATACAGGAACAATTATCATGACCACTCATGCGGACATAGGAAAGAACCATGTATGTCCAGTAAATCCAATCAGTTGGGGCTGTAAGAAAATTCAAAGAGTTGTCACCAGCACGCTGTCAGCAGAGACCACGTCCTTGAGCACAACCTTGGACCAGCTGTCATGGTTGAGACTTTTTTGGAGCTGGATACGGAATCCCAAGACAGATTGGAAGAATGCAACCACCACACTCAATAAACTTCCAGAAACTTTTGCGACAGCCACGTTCAAGGAAGACCCCTCAATATCAGTTACCGATTGTAAATCTTTGTTTGATTTGGTCACTCGGACTGCTCCACCCAGTTGCCAGGAATTTCGTACACAACTACAGGCAAGAGCCATTAAAGACTTGCTGGCTGAAGGGGTAAGACTTAGATGGGTTCACACGGGGGCACAGCTGGCAGATGCATTAACCAAAATTATGCAATGTCATTTTCTCCGTCATACCCTCCAATGTGGCAAATACTCCTTACATGACGAGACTGAGATCCTCAAAGAAAGGGCATGTAACAGAACCAGGGTGAAGTGGCTCCAAGCTACCACAGGTGGAGAAAGCAAAGATCAACAAGAAGAGTAGAAAATTCTTGTTTTTACGAGTGTGAATGAACAAATGATCCCAGTCATGTTCTTGCTTTCTTGTCACATGTGCGCAGCCTTTCATACATGTTCCATGAGGGTCCAACTCCAGACGTGGAAATCCTCAGCCGCTTTGGCTGACTGGCAGCTCGTGGTGGGAGGGCTGAGGAAGCGCTTGAAGCCATAGGATTGAGGTCAATCCATCCAGGTTTTGCTGAGGACAGCATTCGTCGTGGCATCAGTGCCTTTGGTCTTTCTGCTTGGAAGCCTGACAACATTTACCATCTTGGCTGCTTGTGAAAACGTTTGCGAGTGCGCTGGAGCTGGTGAAGGGGATTTTCTACCAGTGTGGAGCGACTCACAAATTATACATATATATATATACATATATATATACATACATATATATTTGATTATACATATATATATATTTATATATACATACACGTACACATACATACATATATATAATTATATATATACATACATATATATATAATTATACACATATATATACACATATACACGTACACATACATACATATATATAAATATAATGATACCTATATATATACACATGCATATATATATATATATATATTTAATTATACATATATATATATACATACACGTACACATACATACATATATATATAAAATTATACATTTATATATATATATATACATAATTATACATATTAATATATATACACGTACACATACATACATATATATATATATTTAGTTGTACATATATATATACATACATATATATATAATTATACATATATGTATATATATATATATATACATACACGTACACATACTAAATATATATATATACACATAATTATACATGTATATATATATACATATATATATATTTAATTATACATATATATATAATTATATATATACATATACACGTACACATACATACATATATATATATATATTTAATTATACACACAGATATATATACATACATATATATATGTATAAATGTACATATATATATATATATTTAGTTATACATATATATATATACACGTACATACATATATATATATAATTATATATACATATATATATACACGTACATATACATACATATATCCCATGAAATTCCTCTAAATCCCACTAAACATCCCTATTGTGGATGGATACCATCCATTTCCCACGAAATCCCAGGACTCGGCGCAACGAGAGGACCTTGAGAAGGAGGCCCTGTGGCTGCAGCAGTGGGAGCGCCAAGCCAAGGCGAGTCGGCGAGTCGTTCCGTGGAGAAAACATGGGGACGTTTCAGCGGGAAAAGGTGGGAAAAGTTGGTTAGAAATCAGTGGCTGAATAAACTATGGTTTATGGTAGATATAACTATATATAGTTAATGGGGATTATTTTTTATGGTCTATAAACCAACGTTCACATCACTGGGGGGACCCATCCTGTAGGATTTAGCCAAAAAACCATGGGAGTTCAAGCTGTGAAACATGGGGATTTGGCCGTCAAAGACAGGGATTTGACCATCAAACATGGGGAACAAAGACAAGGAGCTGACCAGATGCAACAATCAACAGGCTGAAACTGGATTCTTAATCAGCAAAAAATAGGAAAACAGAGGATGATGGAAGAACAGAGGATTTACCGATCAAATATGATAAAATATTGAGACCCACAAGCATCAAAAACACAACCTAATTTAAGCAAGTTCTGTAGTGGGTCTGGGTCCAGAAACGGGGAATGGGCTCCAATCAGTTTATAACAATCCTTATGCAAAACGCATCAAAACGCCATGCATAGTTTTATCCCATGAAATCTCCATTATATCATTATATCCCCATTTCTGGAGATCAATTTAGATCATTTCCATGTTAGACCATCTTTATATGGAGCTTTCCTAACATGGGGGCACCCCCAAATCATCAATTTTTTTAGATCGGATTCTCCATTATAAACCAACCAGCTATTGGGGATCCCCCATTTAATGGAACCCCCCACATATTTGTAGTATTTGACTTGATTTATCCCCATCATGACCCAATGTTCGAACCGGGTTTCCGCGGTTCCACCCCAAAAGGGTCATGGTTTTAGCGCCGTTCACAGCGAGGCGGAAGCGCATGACCTTCACGAGCGAAATCTGAAGGACTTTGTGAAGGACCACGTCGGGGCGGCCTGAGCTGCGAAGGTTTCTACCTCTGGTAGGGATTTTAAGCATCAAACTATTGAGATATATATTAATAATTATTAATATATATATATACACATACATGGTGTCCTTGTGGAGATTGCAGATACCCTCCAGTGATCAATTGACGCAATGGAACATCCACCGTTTCTAGCTTATTTTCCCATTCAAATTAAAAGCTCCATTTATCGGATTTCCCATTGCCACGTTTGATTACCGGAGAGTAAGCTTAGTAGGCGGACAAGAGTTGTTTATTTTGCGCTCTCCCCAAAGCCACCAGGACCATCTTGTGAACAGACACTAGCCATAAGTAGTACTGGTAGAGTAATGGGTAATGTTTGGCATGTGACCGTATGTTGGATGGTACTTTGGTACTTATATTATTGTACTTGCGATTCTACCGACAATGCGTACTTTCTTGCTGGATGTGAATCTGAGTTGTTTGCAAACAAAATAGCATGGAACCAAGTTCATCCATTTGTAAATGGGATGTTTACCCCAGTTGGTCACCCCAGTTAATCTCGTCCCTAATATATTAAATCCCTATAGATCCCAAAATGAACCGAGTCAATACTAAATCGACATTTTCGTTTGAGGGCTATGTAATGTCAGAAGCATGTGATTACAAGTTTGTGTACTTTTGAGGTGTCACCGTTTCACCACAAAAGATTCCTAGTTCCTGCACAATTCAAGTGGGTTTCCAGTTACCCTATGGTAATTTAGCACAATTAGCCATTGAAAAGGGCCATGTATGGATGATTTACCCTTTGGTAAACAGCCACATAGCTATGGAAAATCCACCCATTTTATAGCTGGGTAAATCAACTATTCGACTGGGCCATTTTCAATAGGAAACTGTTTGTTTAGCAAGGCGGGTAGCTATTCAAACATGGTGATTTTCCAGTTCGCTTTTTGTAGCTTTGCCAGGCCGAAGGCCGGGTCCCGGACCGTAACGTCCCAGGTTAAGTAGCAACAAGCCGCGCAACATGAGAACGACGTCTCGCATCAGGCATGGGGAAGCTGGTGAAAACTCAAGTTTTATGGGGGATTTATGGGGGATAAAGCACTATGGTTACATCCCATGACAGTAAATCCCTGAAATTGTTGGTTGGTTGAAATCTCCATGCGCATAAACCACGTTTTTGGTCGATGAAATCCTAGATTTCGTGATGAAAACCCACCCATTTCGGATTCTTGAATCCATGGCCAATCTTTGAGGCTTAAATCATCATAGATCCCCATTTTTGTGGGTTATATATCCCGAATATCCCCACTTTTACAGGTGAAAGCGGCTCATTTTCGGATCCAGAGCATGTCCCGCCCAAGGCCTTCGCCGACGCAGCGGCCGAGGGTCGCGACCAGGAAGCCTTTGTCGCTCGGCGGATGGAGTCATGGGGATGAAACGTGGGGGAAAATCCATGAAAACTATGGCTGGTTGGAACATGGCCCATAGAAATAGATGGTTTACCGAACTGAAAAATGGGTGGATTTTCCATGGCGAACTGTGAATGTCATAACCAGATGGTATATCAAGAGCATATCTGGTTGGTGGTTTGGAACATGGCTTTTATGACTTTCCAATTGGGAATAGTAACCCCAAGTGACGGACTCCATCATTTTTCAGAGGGGTAGGTCAATCACCAACCAGAACTATGGTGATTATGGTGATTTAAGCAACAACAACAGGGATTTGACCAGATGAAGAATGAAGATCTCTCATATGTAAGTTGGAAGAAACATATTTCTAAGCACCAAGAATTGGCACTTATATAACCATTAAAAAAACGACGACACATTTCGATTTAACAATTCGGAATGGTGATTGAATCCACAAAGGGATCTTGGGGTACCCAATTTTCTGACAGCCACGTGTTTCTTCTGCATAGGAATGTATAGGATTTAGACTTAGATCCATCAATTTTTCCCTTTTTCCCCTGGATCCTGAGAGTTTTTCTGTGACCTCACCCTAAAAAGTTTGAAAAAACATGTCTCACTATGTATCTAAGAATCGAAGATTTACATTTCATGTCATTTCATATCATTTCATTAATTTCTATCATTTTCTATCTACTTTTGGGTTTTTTTCAACCAACGTCTGCCCTGTTGCTTCCACATCCCAGGAAAAGATGATCCTAAAGCCGCCGGACGACGGAAAGGATCCCAAGGAGTGGTGCGAGTGATGTGGCATTTCACATGGGGGTAACATGTGGTAACTAAGACATAGCGGGTGGGTGGTTTTATTATTGTTTTATTCATATTTTCAAACACATCTATTTTTCGGCAGATGGGTTGATCACCAATGACTTAAGCATAGTTTTGAGATGGGTGGCTCAAGCAATCAGATAGGGTTGGAACCCAGCAACATGGCTGGATTGATTTTACTGTGACCGAAATTGTTCAATGAGCGATTTCTGATACTTCTGAGCAACAAGTAAGCCAAAGTTCACTTCTATCATCTCAATTTTGTTTGTTTACCCTCCTGTAATCCATGATTTGTAGATCATTGTCCTATTGAAAAATGGTGATTTTCCATATGTTCCCATCTGGTTATTTAAGAGTTCGCCATGGTATAGATAGCCCATAGAAATTTATGGTTTACCGAACTTAATAGCATGGTGATTTTCCATGGCAAACTGTGAATGTCATAACCAGAGGGCAGTAAAAAACCCAGGGTACACAACGGTGGCGTTCCAGGAGATCTTGGAGGAGGAGAGTTGGAGCCCCGGTGGTGACTGGAACGTGGCTGGATTATGACTCTCCACCATATCTGGGGAATAAAATCATCCCAACTGTTACTCACAACCCATCATTTTTCAGAGGGGTAGGGCTCAACCACCAACCAGTCAGTATATATATATATATAATATATATATAATATATATATAATATATATATATATCATTTCCATCAACATAACTATGGAAAACCACCATTTTTCATGGGGAAACCACCTTTTTTCGTATGGAAAATCACCACTTTTTCGTTTTCCGTTGGGTTCATCCGTTGGCTTCATCCGTTGGTCCATCCCTCTGGCCCAAAATCTGCTTGGGGACAACACAGCCATTATTGGATGGCACAACTTTACCAGGAGTTTCCTCAAACATGTTTCCTCAAAGCTGAAAATCATGGAATTTCACTGCGAAGCTGTGGAAGCTCCAGGTGTTTGCCCGAAATCCTGTGGTTGCAGCCACTGAGATCGGGAAGTCGCTCAGCTGATGAAGACCGACGCTGGCGCTGGGGACGACGAATTGAAAGCCACGCGGGACCAGTCGGAGGTCCGGGCGAAACTGCGGGTTCGGTGATGGAGATCTTGGAGGATTCCAGGTTTAGACACCTTGGAGTTCAAGTAATTTTCGCCCCCCAAAAACGGCTTTGGGCCTTGGTGAATGGTGATATGAGGGGGCCATTTGAATGGAGATATTTCTGCCATATCACTTATCCCAAACAAGATTGTTTGCAGGCCATGGTTGGGACCATAGAATTCTTGTTCAGGCTTGAACCATCTGCAGTGTAGATCAAGCGACGAACATGGGTCATACGCAACCACGACCATCATGCCTGGAGATTTCGACAGTCATGGGGACAGATCCCGCACATTGATATGGCTTCCTCCGTTGTGAAATTTAGAGGTGAAATGATGTAATTCGCCTCCAGTTTCTGTGAACGACATGAAAAACCCATGGGGCCCATAGGGAAACCCAAGGAACAAGATCTGCAAATGGCGGAGATCGATTTTCGATGCCAGGTTCAGAGCCACAAGAATGCGCAGCTCGGCGCATCGAAAAAAAGCGATGAGCTGCGTCCAAAGTCTGCCAGGCATGTAAGACTGCATGTGATTTGCCAGGTTCTAGAAAAATGTGCAAACAAATTGTAGTTTCCAGGAATTCCTGTCCATTGCAAATTGTTGCATTTGCTTCTCGTGCCCATGTCAAGTTTGGGGCTGCTGCGATTGATGTGCAGAAACATGTCTCACCTAACAAAAGGCTTCAAAAATCTCAAAGGCGACATTCTGAAAGCAGCCTCCGCAAAACGTATCAGATCAAACCAAAAGAACCGGGTCTCAGATTCTGATGCGCATTTCATGGTTTGCAGCGCCGGGGCTTTGGCAGTCGACACGTTGCACGCCGAGTGGTTGTTCGAATTTCAGCGGTAGGGTTTCACAGGGGCTATGTCCTTGAGCCAGATGCCGTGCAATGAGGTTTTGGCCTCGGAATTTGTGTTTTCGCTACTTTGTCACAAAAGTGGACCTTTCCAGAGCAGGAAAAATGCTGATAGTATCTGATAGTCATTTATTTTCCCCCCGTTGATCCATTCTAGGATTGCATTGGCTTCCGGACTGCATATTGGCGGGTCGACACCCAGGAAGGTGGGGTTGGAAGCGTTGGGAGGATGAGCTGGTGGGTTTATTGATCTTCTTGATAGAGGTGTATTGTACAATCATAAACTAATTTACACGGAAAAACTGATTGGTGCAATCTACTTCACGCCACAATTTTGGAGTGTATGCGTGATCGCATGATTCATTTTTTGAACACATTTTGAGGGGAAACACTGGTATGTTTCGCCATGTTTTGCTGACACAGACGATGTTGATCTCCCTAAACGCCGAAGAGATTCCGAGAATCCGAGAGTCTCGCATGGTTTGCGAATGGTTTGCCGTGCCATGGGATTCTGGTAGGCAGAATTGTTGCTCCTCCGTGCATATCTGCTTGGAGATTTGGGGGATACGGAGGTGCTTCCGTCGACGTCGACAGTTTGGAATGGGCCCTTTGTTCACACCGAGTGGACACCTCTTTGGAGACGGAGATGAGACAACAAAATTATCAAAATTCAGCATGCTTCGACTTCAAAAATTGAAAGAAATCAGTTGCTAGACACTGAAGAAATGAAGGAGCATTATTGGATCTTTTCCACACAAATGTGGCCAATTTGTAGAGGTTGAAATCGAGGGTTTCGATCTGGATCAGCATAGGATCCAGTACGAAGTTGCAGAGAATGTGGTAAACCCAATGATAGAATCTTTTTTGTGGGTTATGGTTTTCGACGCCCCCTTTAAATAGTAACATTGGGTAAATGGGGTGCGGTTTATGGTAGGTCACATGAATGTCCAACTACCTTTGGCCAGGACAGACGCGTTGCACAGAGCATCCAGCATTTTCTCATCGCTGGAGGCAGAAGAAAAACATCGTTGCCTTTCTGGGGTGACACTTGGGTCACAATCTAGAATGTATCCCCCATGAATGGATCTAAATAAGTGCGACTCGATATATCCACAAATAATATATATATATATATAAATATGTGGTACCCCCTCTGATAACGATAATTTAGGCTTCTGTTATATAAGCGATTGCAATCGATTGCAATCACTTATTTCTGTGAGATCCATGGATCCAAGATCCAAGATCCAAGATGCCATGGGGGTCTAGGATTTGAAATCTTGGATGCATGGATCCAAGATGGATCCAAGATTTCAGATCCAAGACCCCCATGGCATCTTGGATCTTGGATCTTGGATCCCAAATAGATAAGTGATTGCAAGCGATTGCAATCACCTGCGCTCAATCTCCGACACTTCCTTCCAATCTATGTGCTGGAGCCTTTCTGTCGAGAATATGCTCAGGAACACTTCGACGCTGCGCTGGGCTACATCTACCGGGTCTCATCGCAAGGCTACTTGGACAACACCCGTGGGAAGTTGAGCATGTCGAAGTGAAAAAAACATAGATCTTGGATCTTGGATCCCAAATAGATAAGTGATTGCAAGCGATTGCAATCACCTGCGCTCAATCTCCGACACTTCCTTCCAATCTATGTGCTGGAGCCTTTCTGTCGACAATATACTCAGGAACACTTCGACGCTGCACTGGGCTACATCTACCGGGTCTCATCGCAAGGCTACTTGGACAACACCCGTGGGAAGTTGAGCATGTCGAAGTGAAAAAACATAGATCTTGGATCTTGGATCCCAAATAGATAAGTGATTGCAAGCGATTGCAATCACCTGCGCTCAATCTCCGACACTTGCTTCCAATCTGTGTGCTGTAGCCTTTCTGTCGAGAATATGCTCAGGAACACTTCGACGCTGCGCTGGGCTACATCTACCGGGTCTCATCGCAAGGCTACTTGGACAACACCCGTGGGAAGTTGAGCATGTCGAAGTGAAAAAAACATAGATCTTGGATCTTGGATCCTTAAATAGATAAGTGATTGCAAGCGATTGCAATCGCCTGCGCTCAATCTCCGACACTTGCTTCCAATCTGTGTGCTGTAGCCTTTCTGTCGAGAATATGCTCAGGAACACTTCGACGCTGCGCTGGGCTACATCTACCGGGTCTCATCGCAAGACTACTTGGACAACACCCGTGGGAAGTTGGGCATGTCGAAGTGAAAAAACATATATCACTAGGATAATGTGTCATGGCAGCCGCTCCTGCTCCTCCTTGCCTTGTGTCCCTGTCGGTCTTGTCTCGTCGTCATGGCGGTGCAGCTGGAAGTGACTGGCAAAGTGGCCCTGCAAAATGGTTTGGCACGGATCGAGGTAGCGTTTGTGCGAGCGAGCGGACGTGGCGACTCCACCTCCTCCGCCCGCACCGCGTCCACCCATGGCAGAGATCCAAGCCTGGCCAGTTCATACAAGCCGCTTGCCGTTGACAAGCAAAGTGGTGCACGGTACAGAAGCAACTCAGGCTTCGTACCGGACTCGCAGGGGATTGGACGGCCGAAGCTACTGACCAACTTCGGTCCAACTTGGCCAAGGCCAAACGAGGTGCAGCTGCCATGTTGGCTTTGGAGAATGGGCCCCCTGGGCCCCCTACCAAAAAGCAGAGGCTTCAAGCTTCTTCCTCTTCTTCGTCAAGTTCGTCCGAGTCTGACTCTGACTCTGACTCCAGTGCAGAGCCCGCTCTTGCAGCCAGTGCAGAGCCTCCTCCTGCACAGTCTGACGATGAGAGTCCAGTGCACCGGGTACACCAAAGGAACGTCTTCGAGCAGAGCGTGACGAACTCCTCACAGCTGTGGCATGCCATCAGGCGATTGAAGATGAAAATGAGGAGTTGAAGACAAAGAACCTCAGCCTATGTGAAGAGAATGTGCAGCTCAAGACAGAGAATTGTGATCTGAAGAAGACTGTGAAGGCTCTGCACTTGCAGTTAGATGGCCATTAGGATCTGACACGCGCGGCTTGACGGTGAAAAATGATGGTGCTGGCTTCTCCTGCTGTTGCACACGTAAGCATACAGGTATCAGTACATGCATGTCTGTTACTGTGCACGAGTTATTGCATTGAACTAGACAGGTTGCAATGGATGACAAGTAGCTGGCCAACCCAAGTTTTCATCTTGCAACTTCAAACCATCTAGGACCTTCATACTTAAACCTTTCGTCCCGCTGCTGCTCTCGTCCTTGTCTTCTTTCTCAAGCGTTCCAACTTCAACTGTCTAGAGCCTTCACGTTTGAACCTCTGGTCCCGCAGCTGCTCTTGTCCTTCGCTTCCTTCTCAGTTTCACACTCACACCCACTTTCAGAGACCTAGTCCTCCAATGGCAGCTGATCTTGTCGATGAAGCTATGCGGACCTACGGGGGTAAGGGGTGGCACTTCGAGACTTTGGCCTTGCCACGCGGCAGTGTCATGCTTCCTCAAGACATTGAGCATCCGCTGACGATGACAGACTTCCTGAATTGCTGCCGTGAGGTGGATGGAGTCAAGTCTACCATTCTGATCTTGGATGTGCACCTAGATGTGCCAAATTGTGGCTCTGCTCGTGATGTCGCCGCCGCGTTACAAGAACAGCAAGTTGGATCCCTGCCACCGCCTGTCGAATTCAAAGAAGCACCACCGTCTGATGCCAAGATTGGAGGTATCATCTCAGAGAACCCAGATGGAAACTTGGATGTTGTCAAGATGATCATGTTCAAGGACAAGGTGGCCTCTCGCGATGCTTTGAAGCTGGTGTCCGGCTCTCCCTATGAGCCTTTCTCCCGTCCTGGTCCATGGGCAGTGAAGAAGGCTTTCCAATCTCTGCTGGATCGCATCCCAGGACATCATGTGCAATGGAGCACAGTAACCAAGTGGGTCAAGCCAACCAAGAGTAGTTCCTCTGCTTCCTCTACATGGGCCCCAGAGAAAGATGAGCTGATGGAGGGGATCGCTTTCATCAATGACAATGCGCCATACAGGTTCTTAACTCCGACTAAGGAGTCTTTACTCCGACCACTTTGTCTTAACCACGCTTAGGGGTCTTTAACCCCGACTATGGGGTTCTTGTTCCAGTCTAGATGGCATGTTCCTTGGAAGATTGTATGTTTCCTTTCTTTTGCAGCCATCTTTGGCTGGTGTTCGGCAAGTTGCACTCCATGGACAAGGCCCGGGCAACTCATGTTCTGTGTGTCCTGTTACTAACGCCTGAGACATCTAGGGTTGTGGTAGGCTTCAGCGTCGAATGAAAAGGACTCAGAAATCCAGGGTTTGCAGCCTAAATCCTCCAAAAAGCGAGTTCTTTTGTGATAGGCTTCGCGTCCCGCATCCTTCTCCTTGTTCTTGCCTATGACTCACTACGCGGAAGTTCGCTTTGGTCTCTTCACTTCTTCACTTGCCCTTGTCCACGAACTTGATGCTACATACGCCTACCTCTACGCCTGACTTCTCTCTTGTCTTTGGTGAGGTCGTCCTCGGGTTCTGTCTCCCGCGTACTCAAACAGTCGGATTCCCGGAAACATCCTGTGTCGAATGAAAAGGACTCAGAAATCCAGGGTTTGCAGCCTAAATCCTCCAAAAAGCGAGTTCTTTTGTGATAGGCTTCGCGTCCCGCATCCTTCTCCTTGTTCTTGCCTATGACTCACTACGCGGAAGTTCGCTTTGGTCTCTTCACTTCTTCACTTGCCCTTGTCCACGAACTTGATGCTACATACGCCTTACCTCTACGCCTGACTTCTCTCTTGTCTTTGGTGAGGTCGTCCTCGGGTTCTGTCTCCCGCTTACTCAAACAGTCGGATTCCCGGAAACATCCTGTGTCGAATGAAAAGGACTCAGAAATCCAGGGTTTGCAGCCTAAATCCTCCAAAAAGCGAGTTCTTTTGTGATAGGCTTCGCGTCCCGCATCCTTCTCCTTGTTCTTTCCTATGACTCACTACGCGGAAGTTCGCTTTGGTCTCTTCATTTCTTCACTTGCCCTTGTCCACGAACTTGATGCTACATACGCCTTACCTCTACGCCTGACTTCTCTCTTGTCTTTGGTGAGGTCGTCCTCGGGTTCTGTCTCCCGCTTACTCAAACAGTCGGATTCCCGGAAACATCCTGTGTCGAATGAAAAGGACTCAGAAATCCAGGGTTTGCAGCCTAAATCCTCCAAAAAGCGAGTTCTTTTGTGATAGGCTTCGCGTCCCGCATCCTTCTCCTTGTTCTTGCCTATGACTCACTACGCGGAAGTTCGCTTTGGTCTCTTCACTTCTTCACTTGCCCTTGTCCACGAACTTGATGCTACATACGCCTTACCTCTACGCCTGACTTCTCTCTTGTCTTTGGTGAGGTCGTCCTCGGGTTCTGTCTCCCGCTTACTCAAACAGTCGGATTCCCGGAAACATCCTGTGTCGAATGAAAAAGACTCAGAAATCCAGGGTTTGCAGCCTAAATCCTCCAAAAAGCGAGTTCTTTTGTGATAGGCTTCGCGTCCCGCATCCTTCTCCTTGTTCTTGCCTATGACTCACTACGCGGAAGTTCGCTTTGGTCTCTTCACTTCTTCACTTGCCCTGTTCCACGAACTTGATGCTACATACGCCTTACCTCTACGCCTGACTTCTCATCGCTTCTTGTCTAGGGTGGAGGTGTCGGTCCTCGGGTTTCTGTCCCTCCCGCACTCACATCCCGGATTCCCTGAAACCTCCCTGTGTCGAATACAAGAACTCAAACAATCCCGGGTTTTGCACCATACAATCCCCAAAAACGCGAGATTCTTTTTGTGATAGCTTTCGCGTCCCGCATCCTTCTCCTTGTTCTTTTTCTTGCCCGTATACTCAACTACGCGGAAGTTTTCGCTTCGCTTTGGTCTCTCAACTTCTTCACTTGCCGTGTTCCACGAACGGGAAAATGCTACATTACGCCTTACCTCTAACGTACCCTAACTTCTCTCTGTTCTTTTGGTTGAGTCGTCCCTCGGTTTTCTGTCTCCGCTTAACTCAAAAAACAGTCCCCCCGTAAAAATTGCCCCGGAAACATCCTGTGTTCGAATGAAAAGACCCTCAGAAAATCCCAGGGTTTGCAGCCTAAATCCCTCCAAAAAGCGAGTTCTTTTGTGATAGGCTTCGCGTCCCGCATCCTTCTCCTTGTTCTTGCCTATGACTCACTACGCGGAAGTTCGCTTTGGTCTCTTCACTTCTTCACTTGCCCTTGTCCACGAACTTGATGCTACATACGCCTTACCTCTACGCCTGACTTCTCTCTTGTCTTTGGTGAGGTCGTCCTCGGGTTCTGTCTCCTGCTTACTCAAACAGTCGGATTCCCGGAAACATCCTGTGTCGAATGAAAAGGACTCAGAAATCCAGGGTTTGCAGCCTAAATCCTCCAAAAAGCGAGTTCTTTTGTGATAGGCTTCGCGTCCCGCATCCTTCTCCTTGTTCTTGCCTATGACTCACTACGCGGAAGTTCGCTTTGGTCTCTTCACTTCTTCACTTGCCCTTGTCCACGAACTTGATGCTACATATGCCTTACCTCTACGCCTGACTTCTCTCTTGTCTTTGGTGAGGTCGTCCTCGGGTTCTGTCTCCCGCTTACTCAAACAGTCGGATTCCCGGAAACATCCTGTGTCGAATGAAAAGGACTCAGAAATCCAGGGTTTGCAGCCTAAATCCTCCAAAAAGCGAGTTCTTGTGTGATAGGCTTCGCGTCCCGCATCCTTCTCCTTGTTCTTGCCTATGACTCACTACGCGGAAGTTCGCTTTGGTCTCTTCACTTCTTCACTTGCCCTTGTCCACGAACTTGATGCTACATACGCCTTACCTCTACGCCTGACTTCTCTCTTGTCTTTGGTGAGGTCGTCCTCGGGTTCTGTCTCCCGCTTATTCAAACAGTCGGATTCCCGGAAACATCCTGTGTCGAATGAAAAGGACTCAGAAATCCAGGGTTTGCAGCCTAAATCCTCCAAAAAGCGAGTTCTTTTGTGATAGGCTTCGCGTCCCGCATCCTTCTCCTTGTTCTTGCCTATGACTCACTACGCGGAAGTTCGCTTTGGTCTCTTCACTTGCCCTTGTCCACGAACTTGATGCTACATACGCCTTACCTCTACGCCTGACTTCTCTCTTGTCTTTGGTGAGGTCGTCCTCGGGTTCTGTCTCCCGCTTACTCAAACAGTCGGATTCCCGGAAACATCCTGTGTCGAATGAAAAGGACTCAGAAATCCAGGGTTTGCAGCCTAAATCCTCCAAAAAGCGAGTTCTTTTGTGATAGGCTTCGCGTCCCGCATCCTTCTCCTTGTTCTTGCCTATGACTCACTACGCGGAAGTTCGCTTTGGTCTCTTCACTTCTTCACTTGCCCTTGTCCACGAACTTGATGCTACATACGCCTTACCTCTACGCCTGACTTCTCTCTTGTCTTTGGTGAGGTCGTCCTCGGGTTCTGTCTCCCGCTTACTCAAACAGTCGGATTCCCGGAAACATCCTGTGTCGAATGAAAAGGACTCAGAAATCCAGGGTTTGCAGCCTAAATCCTCCAAAAAGCGAGTTCTTTTGCAGCCTTGTTCATTTCTCATCTGCCCAGATGTCTTCGCACCCGCCGCTTTAGCAAACCTACTTTTCGACCCTCCCGAGCCACAAATCATTGGAAAAAACACACAGTGCTTGGCGACTTTCCTACCTTTTCGCGCACCTGCATCTTCTCTCTTCTGACTTTCTCCATCTCTTATCTTCTCACTTCTGACTGTCTCCCTGTCGGAGCTTCTTCCTGGCTGTGCTTTTCCATCTGTCAATATGGTCGGAAGCTTCGCTTCTAAACTTCCTTCGATGATACGAACTGTTTTCGGAGCGAAAGCAGATTTGGAAATGGCTGCAGAGGTTTTTGTTGTGTATTTTTCGAGTCCTGATAAGCGGAACATCTGATATCAGCACATGTGAGACACGGGTGCTCCGTGAAACCTTTGTGGGATGCATTTTGCAGTTTCATTCTCAGAAAATGC